AGCAAACTCCCACAAAGAAGAAGCGAAAAACCAGTGAAGAAGAGACACTGGTGTTGGCCACGTTTTTCCACGATGCCATTTACAATGTCCATTCTTCTACCAATGAAGAAGACAGTGCCGCCTTATTTCAAACATTCCTCAAGGAACTCCAATCGGGAGGTGTCACGACTATCACCAATGGACTGGAAGATTCCGTGGTAGAATTGATTTTGGCCACCAAACAACATCAAGTATCCACCGAAAATTCACCCTTGCTCAGTCTCTTTTTGGACCTTGACATGGCCGTGCTGGGAAAAGAGCAAAATGCCTATTTGTGTTATGCTGCCTTGATTCGAAACGAATATCAGCATGTGCCGCATGCAGTGTACTGCGAAAAACGAGCTGAAGTCCTCGAAACCTTTTTGAAACAACCACAAATCTTTGGCACACAGGTCATGCTAGAAGCCTTTGAACAACGAGCACGGGACAATCTACAAGCTGAAATTGAGTCTCTGAAACAGGGACAAATTCCCACGGGAAGAAGCAGCAGCAATAATGCTGCTACCAACGAGGAGAGATGAAAGATGATTTGTTGGATGGCAAGGACACAAATCAAAGGAGGCCGATATGGTTGTTTTCGTGACATACCAGGTGATGAGTAGCACTACACATCACGTGCAGTTCAGTTTTAAGCCAAACAACGATTGTCATCTACAATACCGGAAAGCGTCCACCCGCAGCAGCGGCAGAGAAAGGATTTCATCCCACCCATGGATACCGTATCCCCTTTTGTGCTCCCATTCAAGGACTGCCACATTCCCAAATTTGGTGGCAATCTCTGTACAAACAACTGGGCCACCTTGGATTTGATGAGTGCAAATGCTATTATCCCATTATTGGCACAAAGCACATTCGGGGAGTGCAAATCGGTAGAATGCATCGTTGCTAGTTATTGCGAAGACATGGCGGCAAGAGGACAATTGCTACATGTACCATAAAACCAAAACTTAGAGAATACTAGCTATTTAGTTCTTCCACAAACTAAAGACGGTTTCTGCTGGATTTCTGATTGATGGAAGCAAGGTCAAAGGGTTGTGGCCTGTCGCGTTGTGTTTCTTGAACTGACAACGAAGGAGGGCTAGGCGGTGCAATAGAGCTGATTCGATTCGATTCGATTCGATTCGATTCGATTCAATCGTTCATCATCGTCAATAAAAATATTCGATGGATCGATGCATTTCGCGATCATTCTTTCGCGTTCATGACAAGGTTTCCCAATTTCGCCACGACGCCTTTCTTACTTTGCTTCGACAATGATCTACTTTCTTCAAACGATGCGTCATCTGCCTACTCATTAGTTGGAAAAGCTGTTGGAAATCACAATAAAGCTTGCCATTCAGCTTTCAGCGGACGACTGGTGATGCCACAGAGAGGAATATTTGGGCCCACACGACATCTTGTTCTCTTCCATGGTCCTGTCGACCACAATCTTGAAGGCATTGGAAGAAATGTGTCGTTACGGATCAGCATTCTTCACACCCACAGGGCTGGTGCTCTGCTTCCTGGTGGCTACCATCACTACGGCCACTGCTTTCTCCGCCCGATCAAGTACATCTGCTACAAATGTCAAAGGGCTGACAACAGCAACAAGTACTGCATCCAATGAAACCACTCCATTGATCGTTCCAAATAAGGAAATCAGCACAACCAAAAAATCCTTTTCTCTGTTCTGTAAACCATCCACTTTTGCTGCTGCACAGGGACGGGAGCCATCATTTCTGAAAAAGCAGCTGCGTCGATTTACGGTTTTCCGCGTGGCGTTCCAAGTCTTTCTAGAATACAAGTGGGCGCAACGCCAAGCCAAGGGACGCAAAAAGCGACTTCAGTTGGATCCTGATGATCCAGACAGCGATGATCATCCTGAAATTCAAGCTTACTGGAGTCAGGTCCACGACCGAAACGCCAAAATGCTGCTGAAAAAGATTCAAAAACTCGAAGGGTTTTGGGTGAAAGTGGGGCAGTATCTTTCCACAAGAGCCGATGTGATGCCCTCGGAATATCTGCAGACCCTGTCCGAGTTACAAGACAGTATGCCTCCGCGATCCTGGGCTAATACTTGGCAAACTATTCAGGAAGAGTTGGACGAAAGTGCTCTGAAGCAACTGGAGCACATTGACCCAACGCCGCTTTCCACAGCAAGGTACAGTGTTTGAGATGTCGTCTATCGTTAGTTCTTGCGAAGCTCTCTAACAACCGGTCTGCTTATTAAAAACTTCCCTGAAGTCTGGCACAGGTCCACCGGGCATCGTTGAAGAATCATAATGGGCAATCACATCACCCTGTCGTCCTCAAGGTGCAGCATCGTGGTATTGCATCCCTGATGCTGCAGGACATGGAAAACCTACGTGTAATCTTGGAACTCCTTGCCAAAACGGATCCTGATTTGGACTTCGGACCAGTGATACGCGAGTATAACGCAGAGGTAAAAAAAGAACTAGACTTTCGAAGGGAAGCTGAAAACATGAAGGACGTCAGTAAGCTTCTGGAAGATGCGAAAATCAAAGCGATTGTACCAGAAACGATTCCTGGTCTTATCACGGAGCGTGTTTTGGTGATGGACTTTTGTGAGGGCTTTCCAATTAGAGACACTGACAAACTTGACGAGCTCGGTGTTGACCGAGAGTTGCTCCTGGAACGAGTTTGCGCAGCTTGGGCCGTGCAGATGCACGTGGGAGGAGTCTTCAATGCAGATCCTCACATGGGTAAGTTGACGAGACTTGTGGTGAGCCGTTGGGTCATTCTGCTCTCTCTCATCGGCTTCTGGTTTCCACATGTTTGTGTTCCAGGCAACCTGCTGGTTTCCACTGCTGTCCCTGGGGACGCGTCGGTTCCAGTATTGCTGGACTTTGGACTCACAAAGCGCTTGGATCCACAGATCAAGGTGGCATTCGCTCGTCTGATGCACTCTTCACATGAGAGCGATGTCGACGGTCTCTTGCAAAGCTTTGATGAAATGGGCTTGAAGATCAACCGAGAAAAGGGTCAAGACCCATTCGAAGATATGGCCAACATGCAGCGCGGCTTTGGTAATACCGTACCACAGTCTCAGGCCCGCGAGGTTTCCAAGCAAAAGAGCAAAGAGTATCACCAACGACAGGAAGCAAAACGTGCCGAAGCGGGGCTAAAGAAGAAAGAGAAACTACGGAGTCCGGTGGAGGCCTGGCCATCAGAATTGGTATTCTTCGGGCGCGTTACCAACATGCTGCGAGGTATGTGTTCTCGGCTTGATGTGAGCTACCCCTACCTAAAGACCATGGCCATGGCGGCGCGAGAGACACTGCGAGCATCTGTTCCCCTGGAAGAGCACGCAGACGCCCTCATCCACCCATCGTCTCAGTCCATCTCGACACCCCTGCAAAGGCGCTTGATAGAAGCGCTGCATCAAATCAACGAGGAAGGTCACATGGTGGGATTGCAAGTTAGTGTGCTTCAGCACGGCGAAGCCATAGCTCAGGTTGCAGCTGGAACAATGGGCACAGCAAACCCCAGGGCAGTGACTCCAACGACGCTATTCAACATTTTCTCAGTTTCCAAAGGTGTCTTGACGATTGGTTTACTTCGCTTGATCCAAGATGGGCACATTGACAGTCTAGACGATCCAGTTGCGAATTATTGGCCCGCCTTTGAATCGAAACCTCAAGTCACTGTGCGCCATCTCCTGACGCACCAAGCAGGTCTTGCCTCAGTCTATCCTGAAGACGCCACACTCGATACTCTTCTGGACTGGTCGACTATGACCACCTTCATGGCGAAGGAAGCTGTGCCGAGTCATGAGCCCGGTGCAGAGACGCAGTATCACGCCTTGTCGTATGCTTGGCTAGTAGGAGGATTGATTGAGGCTGTCACGGGAAAGCCCTACGAAGAATGGTTAGACTCTGTGCTACCATACAACAGCCTTGAGTTTCCAGGCGAGGAAACTGCACGTCGCAATCTGTTTCTGGCGGGTATCTCAGAGGATGTTTGCAACGACAGGGATCTGGCGGTGCTTTCAATTGATCGCAGTAGCCTCGCCTCGAACCAGCCAAAGGGCGGCGAACAGAAGGACGTCAAACCTCCTGCAGCGACATCGACCAAAGATGACAGTGACGATGAGGATGAGGACGAGAGGAGAAAAAAAGCGAGGAAGGTGCTTACCAAGTACCGAGGATTGCAGCAATTGATGAACCCCTCCGTGTTCAATATGCGCAAAGTTCGCGAAGCCAAGCTTCCCTCAGCCAATGGTCATGCGTCTGCTGCTTCCCTGGCTGAAGTATTTGACGCTGTGATTCGCAGCAATGAAGGCAGCGATCCGTTGCTGTCCAAGGAGATGCTGGAACTGGCACGCACCCCGAGCCGCACATCATCCCAAGACAGCAGCACTCAGAAACAAGCCATGCTGAACGATGCGGAGGCAAAGTTTGGTTTGGGGTTTCAGCTCCACGAATTCACCTTACCCAACGGTGACAAGGGCGTCTCGATTGGTCACGCTGGTCTCGGCGGGAGTGTGGTAATGGCGATTCCGGAGGAGCAGGTCGTGGTGGCTCTGACTTTGAACCATCTTAGCCAAGATTCCGTCGCCCGAAAACGCATCTTGGGTATTATTTTTGACGAGCTCGGCTGGAAGGCCCCGGCCAGTATCCCTGTTGAGTTGCACACCGATGAGTTGACACTTCCAAACCAGGAGTTGGCGGAGGAAGCTGCTCGTCCATAAATTTTTAAAATCATTTTGTTTCTGCTTCGAGTAGGAGCTTGTGTGGAGAGTTCTCCTGGTGGGCTCCCAAACAAGTACCATTAGTTGTAGCGCCACTTAGAGAGTCTTCGGTCGATCCTCCGTGTTTTAGACCATAGACGACCGCTACCGGTGGCCTACGAATCACTCAACCACGAGCGCCTCTTTTTATCAAAAGACACTATAGTATTTACTACGCTACCAACGAAAGTGAATTAACGAAAAGGGGTGATATAACTCTGCGACGCAGGTGAGCAAAGCGGGTGAGCAGCGGCAGCAGCGATTTTTCCTTCCTAGTAGGCTGGCACCACTCTTACGATCAGTAAGCAGCAGTGCCAGCGAATCAGCGACCGACCAGATTTTTAACCTTCTGTTGCAGGGATATCTTCGTAGTCGCCGGTTTCCACCGGAAGAAGCTCTGGCATGGCCGGCATTACAAATTCCGGCATCTCGGGCTCTTCTCCATCAACTGGTCCGCACTCGTCCTCGAATCCAGGGAAACGGAAGCCCACCATCTTGGTGGATTCATAGGTGATTTCTCCTTCGGGACTGTCAAACTTGAGTTCAAAGCTGGCATCACCCTCTTCAAGAGAAAATCCTCCCGATTCCGTGTGTGCAATGAGCTTGTGGACGGGGTCATCCGAGGGGGCAGTAACCTTGACTCCAATGAGATCTCCCACAATGGGCATAGTTTCACAGGGATGGTCCGAGTTGGCCCAGTTGATGTAGAAGGGAGCAATTCCACCCATTTTGTGTCCGTACAGGTAGAGCATTTCCCACTTCCTGGGTGTACCATCTTCCTTGGCACCAAACATGGAAATATGGTCGGGAGTGTATCCAAACTTGTTCACTTCGTCCTTCAATGGTTCAGCACGCTCGTTTCGGATAGCCCAGTGGAAAGGTTTCAGTCCAGAGATGCCTGATGCCTTTAGCAAGTTTCCAATGGGACCTCCCGACTTCGGATCAGGAGCGATGATCTCCAAGTAGGAGGATCCCTCGAAGGACACTCGCGCCGTCTTGATACCCAAGCCCTTGATGGCGCCAGCAATCTTGGGGGCCACACCAGTCTTCTCCGTAAACTCCTCCAAGGCACTCTCAAAGTCCGCCGCAGCCAACACCACATGGTCCAGCACGTTGTCCTCAAGGTCAATCTCACGGGCCTCTTCACCCGATTCAGAATCCGAAGAATCCGAGTCGTCATCATCACCTCCCGTCTCGTCCACAAAACCAGCGAGGAGCTTCTTCATTTCGGCGTCCTCTTCGGTCTCTTCTGCCTTTGGGCCATCATCATCAGAGTCACTCATCTTGGTTGGTTGGTCGGTTGGTTGCTTTACAACAAAGAGGTCGAAGAAACAGCTTGTCCGTTTCAACAAATAATGGAAGAAGTGGTAATGGGATCTCTGCGTTGCGGTTGTGCAGCTTTGCCTTCCTTGCCTTCGAATACAGACAGCAAAGATCTTCTTGGGAAGCAATCAAAGGATCGCTGTACAAACCTACATACGCAAATTCTACGTGTTCTTGGCATCTCTGCGAGCGGTCATCAAACCACCAAAAGTCATCCAGGCTGGCGTGCGTTGAAAAGGAGAAGGTTAACTCGATCCTTCATGATCATGGTGGAAAAAGTACCAGTGACGGTTAGAGTACTGTATCGGTGGTTTGGTGCCGTTGCAAACTAACGCCAGGGCCAACCTTGTAATAACGGAACATAAACAGAACATAGATGGACGAAGAAGACTGGGGACAGAGCTTGGTGGAATCGAATCAGAGGACGGAAAGGAGGGCCTATCCTTTTTTAGATTACATGTCGATGGCATGCGGGCTTGTCAAGGGCAATGGATAACTAAAACATTCGCTAGGAATACTGTAGGATCATTGAGCATCGGAATCTCTGACTTAGGGTGATTTTTAAAGTTCATCGGAGCTCTATCGTTAGCTTTCTACTGGCCACAGAACCAAACAAATGATAGGTACACTGCACTGAAGGTGTTGTCGTTGGGTTGATCTCTCCGACCTTGCGTTACAGCTTGAAAGGCTTATAAACAGATCTTTGGATCTTTTGCTGAACAGACATCAGAACATCAGAACCCCCAATTTTGAGCTTTCTTCCGCAACAGAACCAAACGAAAGTATATCTCGTCTATTCTTTCCATCCTGCTTCTTGAGGATGAACTGGTGGTGGCTTCAAGTGCTCTGTATTAACCTGTTAGCGGGCTTTGCCGCTGTTTCTATTTTCCTCATTCATGGGGAGGAGCAGGAGCGACTAAAATGGGTAGCCGCTCCCTCTACCCTCCCTCTGTACACCACCGACGAAGTGTGCCGCGACAAAGAGTCCAATAAGATCTTGAATTGCGGCGGTTGTGGGGGTTGCTCTAACAGGCACGATATCAAGCTGTATCATGATAAACGAGATACATTGACTGGTATCATGGTGGAATGTGCTCAAGCGGATTTTATTTTTCGTGGGGATGCCCTCGAGTGTCTGAAAGAGCGATCCGGTCTCACGGAGCACTGCGCCAGTTGTTGGGTGTTGAATTATGTCTGCAATACACACAACTGTATACGGACGTGTATCAAGCATCGATATTTGCCATTTTTACCGAGTTGGAATGCTTGGAATTCAGAGCCATTGGACCCGTGCATCGCCTGCGATGAAAAACTGTGCGGGCCCGTATTTGTAGACTGTGCTGGGGCCAATCGAAGGCGTGCTGGTGTTATTACGGATATTGAACGAGACAATCAACAGGAAATTTGTAACAAGGTGGACTGGGATTGGGTTCTAGGCGACGACGACGAAAAGACGGAAGACAAGACGAAAGACCAGAATATGGTGGAGAAGGAAGGAGATGGAATGGCCCAAGAAGCGACAAGGGAGGAACTCTGAGCATCCAATGTACAAACCAATCAATCTACCGAGTCTTAGCGCTTATCCGCATCACTTTCAGTCCAGCCGATAGAAGGACTCTGCTGATGAAATAGACCCTAAAGATTCTCTACGAATGTACACGAAATGGTAGTGCTCGTTGGGAGGTTCAGCCACACAAGCACCTTGCCAGTTTGGCTCTGTGTTGCTCTGCTACGAGTCGAGTGACAGCCAAGGAATCGGGAAGTGCTTTGAGCGGTTGGTCATCTTGCTTGAGCTTGGAGGAACGTTCAAATGTCTAAATTGACACAGTTTTGGAAATTCGACGTAGAAACGCGTAGCAACAAACTCTAAGAAAACGAATGGCAAGGCTTCGAAACGTGATAAATTGAAATACGTGTGCATGGCTAAAGTCAGAAACCCAACAGTGGGGCAATCATTAGGGGATTGAATACGTACATGCGGGACGAATGGTGGCGAGGTTTACTGGATCAGGATCCGGTGGCACAAAACAAGCACCCGCCTTGGGGGCAATGATGCCTCCTGCAATGATCCCCATATCTACCTCTGAGTCGCTTATCAGAGGCTATCTGTTTACACTGCATACACTACGAACTGCTTCGTAATCTATTTGTTATGAAAAACTGGCTTGTTGGCTGGTCCACAGTGTATATAGCCTGAGGTCGATGAACGCATATACCTCTGCGGAGCCATTTGGTTAGCTGAACTACGAATACCTGGGCTGGGAAAGCGCTTCGGATGTCGATGTCTGTCACAGAGACTTCTAGTTTTCACTGAACAATCCTTCACCGTCATGTACCACCGCATCATTCAGAAACACCACAGTTTCAGGGATATCTTTGCCGAGTTTATTAGTTGAGCAGATTGCATTGAGTAGTTCCAAAGTTCTGTCCGCATCCCGCACCGCTTCAGGGATGTCTTTTCGTCTAATGTTCTCAATGGAAGCCAAAATGTCGTGAAAGTCACTTTCCGACGATAGGGTCTTGTTCTCTCTTTCCGTCTTGGATCCCCCATCATTGTCCATGTTTTCCGTGGACGAATCAGCACACAACTCAGGGATCGTACTCAATCGTTTGTTAGCTCCCGTCAGTTTGGAGTCTGCAACGATCCCATTGGCCTGTTTTTGTGCAAATGCCTTCCCAAGCTTGAGCATGTCTCCCAGGCGCATCTCCGCGGTGGTAACCAGAAGGGGAAGATTCTCCACAACGGCCTCTTCCGGGAACATTCCATTCTCGATGAGTTTCCCTTCGTAGACAACAGCGTCGCGGGGAAGAATTCCACAGTTCTGCACGAAGAACTGCGCCCAATTTTTGTTTGAACATTCCCGAAGCTGAGCAGCCCTGTTTTGCAGGCCCAAGTTGGGCTTAGATGATCTTCGCTTGCCTCGTTCCTTGCTCCTTTTGGAGGAGATCCTGGCACTGTTCCGCAATAAACTGTTGGCACGTTTCTTGGCCCACCACGGATTGGCGGCTTCGGCAGGAGTGGGAAAGCGCCATTGAGAGTGCTGGGCTCCGGCATGAGAGTAGTAGAACCTCTGTTGAGATTTGGAAAGAAGACGTTGCCAGCCAGGAGGCAACGGGGCTTTGTGGTGGTTGCATAGCATGGCGCGAGCGGTGGTAGATGATTGTTGCTGGTGGATGAAAGTCATTCCAATACAAGAAGAATGATTATTATGGGTGGATCATTTCTGGTTGGACGTCTTTGAAGCCATAGATAGATGCATGGTTGGAGTTTTCATGGTCGCATCGCACTCAGAGAAGCAAGTGCATGTACTTCGCCAACCTCTTTCGGTTGCCTTCTTGATTAACTTCTCCTGAAAACCTGAAATCGGGAGCAGACCGCGCCGAGGTGGCTGGTTGCATTGCGTCCATACGGTACGGTACAGTGTACGCTGTAGACCTACCATATGGCATACTTGTAATTGTATGATAGATGCCTTTATGAGCTATCATCTGACGAGCATACAGATACGGCATACGATGACTGAGTCTCTCGTTATGCTTTAGACAAGGTGAATGAGTATCGCTCTGCGCTGATTATTTGATGGTCCCAGGCTCTAGCTACCGCAGTGTCCTCCCTTGTGCTCGTCCTCAGATCCGTAGCATGCAACTGTCTCCTTTTCTTGTTTCCTCTCTTGTTCTTTTTGTTTCCAGTGACTTTGTTCATTTTCCATTTGAGTCCCTTGACTGTCTTGGCGACTACCCATTCGTTTGGGTTTGCTTCTTTGCCAAGGCATCCATCTTGTCCAAGAAGGGTTTGCTGGTGTTGCTTGGTGCGACGATAAACCAAGAACTCAGATAGGGCGTCGTCTTGCCATTGGCTCCCACGTCATCGGGTCGGTCCTGAACCCACGACGGCATGGTGTGCCAATACGGTTCGACGGGACTTTTGAAAGAAGAGTTCCTGGGTCTGTTTGTGGATTGGCTGGACAAATCGTTCCGTGTAATCGGGTTGTCGCGACACCCAATTGGCCAGCAGCAAACAGATGGGACGTTTATTGGGTAGTTCCGTGTCGATACAGAAATGCATCAATCGATGATTGGTTTGTGACGAGAATGTCATGTTCGGGAATTTGCTGCTCTCGAATCAGTTGGTAAAAGTCAGAATTCTCGTCAATGACGTTGGTGTATCCAATTTCGGCAAAGATCTTTTTCATGGATCGATTGCAATAAAAGGGATCCCAGAGCCGTAAACTCGACTTGGGTCGTCGAAGCACTTACTTGGCAAAAAGCTCCAAGAACGCGTCCAAATGCTCGTAGGCAACCTTGGGAGTCTCGCAATGATCGAGAACGTCGAATTCGTGATGACATTGAGTTGAAGCAGACCCCCCGGTTGCAGTGTCTTGTTTGTTATTGTCCTCGGCCTTGCCGCTCTCTGGGGGGTTGCAGCTCTTGGTCTGCGATGCTTCTTGCAACTTCTCGCCGCCCCCGTTGCATCGTCTCGTCGCCTTTCTGCTCCTCCCTGGTTGAAGACGAAGCAAAGGCTGTCTTCTTTTCCTGCTGACATGAATCCATACTCTGAGTATTCGGTTCTTAGCGAACCAGGAAGAGGGGCTCCAACCAGAACAACCTCGATGTGATTGAGGGGACGTTGTGGGTTGTGTGCATGCACGGTCTATTCAACCATTTACAGGAACTTCCGTTAAATGAATAATTGAGCCAGCTCAGCTGGCAAGTCGATGCATCACTCGATTGTGGTGAATAGACGCCTGGTTGTTCTCGTAATTCGTAGGGGAGTCAGACTCTCTAGAGATCTGATGATCTGATGTAATGATTGAGGACCAACATGGTACCGGTACGACTGTACCGTAAAAGTATGGGGTTCAAGGCGCAAGATCTGAAAGATTTTGAAGGGCACAACAGCACAGCAGCCAGCATATTATACTAGTAGCGACCAAGCTCCAGCAGTACATGTACCAGTATACATGTATCTGATTGCCTCGTCGCTCGTCGTGACTCGGTAACCAGAACTGGCATGGTGGGTTGGCTCTGTCGTACTTTAGCACTCTCTCTTTTTGCTGCATTTGATAGAGGGCTGTAGTACTCATTTCCTTTCCAGATTCTTGTTGTTATAACAGTTCTGAGACTCCGTCCATGACTTCATGCATAATACTTGTACAGTGGTAGCAGCGGCCTTCTCCTCCAACCAGTTCGAAAGCAGCTTCGAGAGCTAAATGCGACGGGAGCTCTGGCTCCGTTTACTATTGCCACTTATTACTCTACTCACGCACAGTGGGACGAGAACTCGAAACCGTTACGATATATCTGCCCCATTCTGGGGATGTCCAAGTTGGGGTGTTATGCAATACACGGCTCTTAGCCTTATTCGCGACTCGATCCTAGATAGGGTTTGAGTTCGACTCATGACTGAGTCTCTCGTGAATAGTTATTGAGACATGGTTCTCAATGACCGCTCTAGTCATACTAGGTTGATGATGAAACATCGCTCTAGATATTTAGCCAGCGTGGAGTACTTCTACGCCACTACTAGATCCATGCTAGACGAATCTTCCACGCGTTCCGTTTTAGGATCATGGAGATACGTAGGATTACTACCGCAACCTACTCTATCACACTTTATAGTCTCCCGCGGGAGACCAGATCTACGATCCTATTTGATGGTGATCTCTCTCGTTGATTAGTTTTCATAGCTTTCTAATCTCTCATAACTTTCATTCTCTCAAACACAAAACACTCGAAAATCTTTACACTAGCTTTTAGCGTAGTGCATTTTGTTAACAAACAAATAGCTTTCAGCTACCTCAACCTATTCCTTCACCATGAGATTGCTCAAGGAAAGCATGCGTTCACCAACTTCGAGAAACAGTTGCGTGACAAACCCATTCTTCCTCTCGTCGACAATGAGAAGACGCCGAGATCGACGATTCTCGTGCAACCACCTACAAACTTCGCACCGTTCCTGCAGATGCAAACAGTGCAAATACACCTTCAAGGTAGCCATCATCAATGGTTCCAACACTCCACGTCAGACCATCAAGTGGCTACGAATATGGAGAAGGTCTTCGTTGGACTCAACCTTGCTGTCCGCGACAAACATCGCCTTCTCAAGGAATGACTTCCAGCTCTGCGAAGTGCCTACGAAGCTGGGTGTGCAGGCATCGTGCCGTGCGTCAAACGCCTCGACAAATGCTGTGCGCAACCCACGCAATCGTGACCGAAACGAAGAGCTAGGCTCGTCAAGCCGCATGGGACGGTGCACGGAACCCGCTCTAAGCGATGCGACATCACCTTTGGAATCAAGCGGTTATCGAAGCAGCCTGTCCTTCAAGGCTCTCGAAAAACAGAAACGCTTCATGCGTCGCAAGATGCTAAGCCTAGCGAGATGACAACTCGCGCCTACATCAACAACCTCACTCGGATGAATACCGATGAGCTTCCACGTTTCCACCTTTCGGTGTCAATCAACAGTGAACCAGGACGAATTCATCGACATCATCTGTCATGGCATTCCTCGTTCCTGGATGCGCAAGATGGACGAACACGACTTCGATCCTTTCACTGCCGAGATGACAGCTCTCATTGGATTCTGTGAGCGCATGGAATCCGCTGAAGACTTTGACAAAGGCAGTGATGCCAAGCAAGCTCCTTCGAAGAAGAACAACAGCAAGAAGTACAAGTCTACTCGCAACAACGACCATCTTCCAAGAGCGAAGAAAAGTGGTGTGATTACCACGAGTCCAGCACTCACAAATGCTGATGCATGACTCTGAAGAACTCAAGCCAAGTCCTCGTCTGACACGATAGCAAGCCAGCGTACAACAAAACAAGACTTGGAAACGCAAGTCAACGATGCCAAGTCCTACACCAAGAAGGAACTTTCTGTCCTTAGAAGAAAGTCTCCAACGCTGCGGTCAAGGCGGATCGCAAGAAGAAAGCGAATGCACCATGTTGCCAAACGCAAGTCAGACGACTCTGACAACGAGGATGCTCCTCTGTCGGGTCCCTCAACATGATGACAAGAAAATGGCTGCATCGACAAGGTCTGCCGACTTCGACTTAATCATTCAGATGGAGAGATTTCCGTCTGAGATTAGGCCAGGATGATGATTCAAGGAACCATGTCCGATTTCTCATACCTAAGTGATGAAATATCTCACTAACTAGTAAACAAGAATTGTTTGCAACTGAGGAAGTCTACGCAAATTAGATAATTGCTAGAAGCTGCTCAACTAGATTCGACGATCTATCCAGCATTGTTAACTCGTCCGTGGCAACCACCTCGTAAACGCCGCAAGCAAGAGACCTCAAAACTATCGTCTATGTTAGATTTAACAGACGAGAAAAAGGAAACAAACCGTTACACCCGTTGCTTACTGGATACAGAGCATCCGGAACTATTACCCAAATTCATGCTAGAGATTAGCATGAAGGATATGGGGGCGTCCAAACACTAGGACTCCCTGTAAAGAATTAAACCCCAGCACGAAGTGTAAGGGTGCACTTAGATCCTGAGTTCCCGATGAAGAATTATCGAATGGAACTTGACGCCACCAAGAACTGGGGCGAATGACATGCATAGGTCGAGAATCTCTCGATCTAGGAATCAAGTTCGATTTCATACCATGTCAGTGAAGTGAATAGCACATCTTTCCCTATGAAAGATAGCAATACCAACGAAGAAAGAACTTCTTCATCCCTGATCCACAGCTGTCAGCGACAGTGATGTCTCAAGAGATACTTGACGCGAATACGAACGACCTGACTTAAGGCAGATATGCAGAGTAAAACCAGGTAAATAAGGAAGAGCAGGAACGCTTCATGCCTTATAACCAAGTGCTCCGACCATTCGAAGGTACTTTAGGAAAGCGACAAATGACGACTACGAGTAAACTTCTCCTGAGCTAAACCTATCACCTAGGGCTTACCTACTCCACGTGTCCATACACAACTTAAGACAGAGTCGAACGTCTGCGACGCAGGAGCACTTAAGAAGGTAAACTGTTCCGAGTGGACAGCACCCACATTTATCATTCCCAAAAAAATGGATCTATACGGTTCATCTCTGACGTCCGGAACTGAAAAAAGGGAACAAAAACCTTGTCCGATCCAAGATACAAGACATGCTACTGAATCTAGACGGTTTCAGGAAATACGAGTACAGCGAGTACCGATGGGCCTTATGCAATAGTCCGACATCTTCCAAGGAGAAGATGGGAACACTCATGCACGACTTGGAAAATGTCCGTGCACATTGATGATCAACTCATCCTACCTAACGGCGATCTAGTGGACACGTTGAATAGTTAGATGAAGTTCTCTAAAGGCTTCGAGAAGCCGACTTAAGATCAATGCTACAAGTCCTTCTTCGAAAGAAGAGAACTTGATATCTAGGCTACTGGATTATTGAGAAGGAATCCAACCCGTAACCAAGAAAAAATATGCGATCCAGAAATCGCTCCTCCTACAAACAGGAAGAACTTGGTAAATTCATTAGACTAGTGAACTACTATCGAGACTTATGGATCAACGATCACATGTCATACAACGTCGGGGATCAAGAAAGGAATTGCCGAGATCTGCTCCAATTCAGCAGACGAAGTAGCCATGTTCTAGAACAGACGTGGCTCACCCGATCCATGGCCTGCTGAGGTTATCATGGAAGAGAACGTGATTCCGCGCAGATCGAGAAGCTCTCCGGGATGAATATGGACTTCGTCGAAGTTCATACCCACTGTGTCAATCGTGACGCGATTCACACGTCCGTTTTTGAGTAACTGGAAACACATCAAAGAACTCGCCAACGATCATCCAGAAAAACAATGATAGGGAAAACGACGCGTTCCCTCATCAATACAATTGTAACGATACTGTGAGGTTTCAACAGTATCAGACACCCAAGTACGGTCAGCCAAGTACAAAGGTCCTTACAAATAGACCGAGTCAATAAAAGGCACTGTACGGCTCCGACATGCTACCGCCAAGGCGCACAGTCTACCAGACTGGAACATAAGTATTTACACCCATACAAGGCTTGATTCCCTTGCAGGATTGCCAATCGTGCGACGCACATGTCTAATCCAATCTCGGAGAGTGCCCGCACTTTATCATATTTCTCCTTGTCCGACTATGTCGTGCCTTCTGTGACCCTTGTCAGGGGGCGAATGCAATACACGGCTCTTAGCCTTATTGTGCTCGATTCCTAGATAGGGTTTGAGTTCGACTCATGACTGAGTCCTCCGTGAATAGTTTATTGGAGACAGGTTCAAATGACCGCTCCTAGTCATACTAGGTTATGATGAAACATCGCTCTAATATTTAGCCAGCGTGGATAACTTCCACGCTACTAGATCCATTGCTAACGAATCTTCCACCGTTCCGTTTTAGGATCGTTGAATACGTAGGATTACTACAAACCTACTCTATCACACTTATAGTCTCCGCGGGAGCCAGATCTACGATTCCTTTGATGGTGATCTCTCTCGTTGATTAGTTTTCATAGCTTTCTAATCTCTCTATAACTTTCATTCTCTCAACACAAAACACTCGAAAGATCTTTACACTACTTTTAGCGTAGTGCAGTTATCATGGAGCTATCATGGGTTTATTCTACAATCAGCTTTTGATCTTGCAGTAGGAGTTTCATTTTGAGCATCAGGGAATGACGTGGATGGTGTTTATCTCTCCGCATGCTCGTGATTCCTTTCTCCAATTGTCAAACAAGCGGCTAAAAGCAAATGGCATGATTCTTCATTCTGTTTTGGATCTTAGAAGCTGTATTCAGAGCATCAGTGAATGGCTTGCTACTACTCCAAAGCTCGTGATTCCGTCTCCCACTTGCCAAACTTGCTCTGGTAAACCCCAGTGGCATGATTCTTGGATCTGTTTTGGATCTTAGACAGCTGCACTCTGAGCATCAGTGAATGGCTTGCTCTTCGTGGCTTCACTCGAGGTTCTGCTCCAGTCCAAAAATAGGCGCCCCCTTTCCCAGATGCGGATGCGACAGCCATGACAAGCTCTCATAATTTGTTTCATCGAAAGTTCCGCAAGCAACAATCAAAGCATCATGGCCTGGACCAAGCTCCTTGTCGTCGCGACTTTGTTGGGTTCGGCTTTTGGCTTTGACAAGATTGATAAACACAACGAGGAGGATCCCGATGGAGCTGTCGTCCGTCACCGAAGACTTTCAACAATTGGCGGGGTAGTGTCGTATTCGTATTCAGCTATTCCTTCTACTGAACTTACTGGGCAACTAGCCACAGGACCAAAATCATTTTTTCAAATCTTCGGAAACGGTGCAGGCAATAACTTCTACGATGACACACCTCTCTACTCTAATACATTTGGTTCGCCCACGTTGTCGTTTAAGGTAACCGAAAAAGAGTTTTCGCTCTCGCTCACTCAAACACAACGATTGGATCCTGCAGTACTTCTCTTCCCCGGTTTCCTGAAGGGGGAAATGACGGTGAATGGAAAAAGGTTTTGGGCGTTTACCTTGAAATTCACTGTCCAAGCGCCTTCGCTCCGGTTGAGGGTGGAAGGGAGCATTGTGCATGTCAACAGGCTGACCCCAGCGGCACATGACGATGATTCTGAAGCGGGGATTGCACTGCCAATCGACAGTGAGATTGACATTCGATTCAATCTAGGATTGCTTGGTCAAAAGAAAGAGGGGAACAGGAAGCACGAGGTTCGTTCTCACAGCAATAAAGTTGACGCTCCTGGCCATAGGGATTGTATGGTGAGAAATTCTCTGGTCGGGGATTGCTGCGCGGGCACAAACTTCAGGGACTTTTCCTACAATCTTAGAGTGCTTCATTCTGGGGTTAGGCCAAAGGGATTCGGAGAACCGCATTTTGTGACCTGGACCGGCCAGCTCTATGATTATCAAGGTAAGAAGCAGGTCGAAGATCCTTCTATTGACTACTACTATCATTCTAACCGTTCCCTCTGTACCAGGTGAATGTGACCTTGTCCTTTTGTCTGCTCCCAACCTTGAGCATGGTTCGCTAGACATCCACATTCGAACGAGAATCCGCTATGGTAAGAAATGCCGCCGCCCTGCGTAGGGAATGTCCGTCGGCAAGCAAGGTACCCCCTCACACAAGTTGACCTCTCTGTAAGTACAGGCTACTCGTACATTCAGAGCGCCGCGGTCAGGATTGGAGATGAGATCTTGGAAGTGGATGGATGGAGTTACTATCTCCTCGATGGGGTCAGCAATGCCGACCTGAGTACCGCAGTATTCGCCACGCTACCTATGAATTATACTCGGGTTGATTACAAGCAACACATTTTCGACATCATCGTTAATGGCGACTCGGGCGAACGTATCCAAATTTCCACTTTCAAAGACTGGCTGTCGGTGAAAGTCTTTGAGGACTCTGTCCCAAACTTTAAGGATAGCGTCGGCCTTTTTGGCAACTACTGGACTGGAGCCATGCTGGCTCGCCATGGTACCACCATTGAGGACCCCAACGAGTTTGGTCAAGAATGGCAAGTCCTTCCATCTGACCCCAGACTCTTTGCGGCATCCCGTTCGCCCCAGAGCCCAGATCTGTGCATGCTCCCAGATCCAACTGAACAGCAGGTGCGCCGTCGTTTGGGCGAAAGTGTTGCCCGCGGTGCCGCTGAGAAAGCCTGCGCCAAGTACCATCATGATCATGGTGCTATTGACAATTGTATCTTTGATGGTAAGTCTGCTTGCCTTCGGGTATTATTGTCTCCACTTGATGTACTAGTAGCTCAACAAGTTGCGCATCGTGCCCAGTCATGGCCAGTGGGGACATCGAGATGGCAAAAGCTGGAGCCGAGCTCTGATAGCCATGTCAGATGCTTCGAGATCAGCCTTACTCCAGTAAGGTCTCTCGTCTTCTATATGGATAGTCACCTTCGACTTGCATATTGCTGCATGAAATCCCCTTTAGTTTTCTTTGGACTCCTGTGTGATTGACAGTATGGGTGGGTCTGCCCTACCTGGTCTCCTTCGTACCAGTGGTGTCACCTCTCATTACACACCATCTCTGGCCTCCTACCTCATCCCGTGCTAGTGCCTTGTCCTGGCAAGATGGGTTTACCAAATGTTTGCACTCAACATTGCCGCCCACAAGCACTGCATCTTCAATCCTCTCTGGTCTCAGCTTTGCGTTCATATATTCATCTGAAAATTCAGCCTTCCACAGTTCTGGGCGCTTCTACATATTTCCCATGCAATCCCTCATTTGGACCCTTTTCTTAGTCTCCACCAAGTTATCCATGGGTGGCCTCTACCGGTACCGGTACATCTAATCCAGAGTAGTTTTAATATGCAATGGTTTGTGCTGGTAGTTTTGGCCTAGTGCTTGAACATGTTGGAGCCAACAATGCTGCTTGTGCTTCAAGCGAAGCCAAAGTAATTGGCTTTGGCGCACTCGCCACTTTAGCAAAATGTAGTTAATTGCCGGGGTATGCGTCAGCCAAATCAATGCCTGAGGCTGTCTCCATGGTTTCCAGGTAGATACGTATCCATCCACTGTTTCTTTTAAAAAGGCTCCATGAGCATGTGCAAATTCCAAGTCACCCATGACAATCACATCAAAGGCACGCATGTCCTTCCTCTATGCATATTTATAGCGGCACAAACATTCTCTGCAGCATCTCTACAAATCTTCTCACCCAAACGGTTGACCTAGGTAGCAGCAGGTGGAACACATGCCTTTGGAACAAACTGAGAGTCTGGAACATCTGGGCTTCACTGGTCAAAACTTGCAACTCTTGGCCAAACAAGTTGTGGTCCTGGAAGACTGCACGACTGTGGTGCGAGCTTGCTCATCAATGCAACACTGGTGCCAAAGTTGGAAGGGCTGCCATTCTCAATCATCACAAACACCATGTCCTGAACGTGCCTCATTTTTTACCAGAATTGATCTTGTGCTCGCTGCTCAGCTCAGCTCAGCTCAGGTCAGCTCAGGTCAGCTCAGCTCAGTTCAGCTCAGTTCAGCTCAGCTCAGCTCAGCTCAGCTCAGCTCAGCTCATCCCATCTCAGCCCTACTCAGCCCTGCTAGCCCAGCTCAGCTGGCTGGATCCATCCCTTTTACTTGCCATCGCATTTGCTACATCGTACATAATTCCAGTGTTGGTTTTATCTGAATGACTAAATTAATAATGACCCAGTACTCAAAACACGTAGAAATTACAAGAATAATAAAAGAAAACAATAAAAAGATCGACCATGACGAACGGCACGACCAATTACACCATGGAAAACACACCGATACACTTTACAACAAGAAAATCACTACTAACAACACTTATGAACCTAATGGAATACCGGAGCTGATGCTCCCAAGCCCCCAATCTGAAAAACCGACCAAAATGACCCTTCTACCAACCAATATCCATAGTAGCAACAACCTGAGGTTAACAGAAATCCCCACAACGGAGCTTCTCCCATTGATTCTTTCCATGCACTCTCAAATGTGGCAACAACCTGGGTGGAGCAGAAATTCCCACATCGGAGTCTTCATGGGAAAGCAATCGGACAAGACATTGGACCAGAACGGAAGTCAACTACTTCATCATCAACATTCATACCTTGAGCAAATCGACATCCCCTCCATTCAGCATTCACTGTGGCAACAATCTGAGTGATGCAGAAATCCCCACAGCAGCGCGTTGGATTGAGAATAAATGTCAACCACTTCAGAACCACTGCTTTGAGCAGCAATACTACGATTATCTTCGGTGCAACGGCAGCACCTCAATATTTTGGATCATTATGCACACTTCCCTTGAATGAGCGATGACCCAGGGCGCAGGATGTAATGCAACGATCGGGGCAAGAACCTGCTACCATTTTCTATTTCCTTTCTTTGGATTTATTTTTTATTTTTGTACAGTCCTCATGCTACACATGAGAAACCCTTCTACTTGAACAGGCGGCCAGTAGTGCCGCCCGTCTTTCCTAGCTAGTGAAGTAAAAGCATGCCTTCGGCGCAGTAGAACATAATTCTACTAATCTTTGTGTCAAATCAAATTTGCTACATCGTACAACTTCGTCTGCTTCCAGAGGTTGCTGGAAAGAACTACTTCCTACTAAGCTATTAAGAATAAGCTACTAAAAGTCACATCATGGACGCTTCCGCTCTGCTTGCTTCTATTGACAACCCAGTTCCGACCAGCAACTGGACTGTTTCCAAGCTTGAAGTATTGGAAATTATGTTGATGGCCAAGGCAGATCTGGCAACGGTCAAAACGTGCTATGAGTCCTGCCCGGAAGCTCCGACCGAGCGACTCCTTGCCAACGTCATCAAACACGGAGCCAAGCCCGGAGTGATTGGTTTTCTCGCCGCCAAACAACCAGAGTTGGTAGACGAAATTCTCCAGGAGACTGAGAAGAGGGCAACCATCAGTGAAGTCAACGCGGAGGCCAAAAACCTCAAGAGCAGCAGCAAACTTCCTTTGCTACGTGTACCGGTACTACCGATTTACACAGTGCTGAATTGGCTGGGGCGCCAGAAAGCATGCAGTTCTGAAACTACAAAAGCTGAATTTATGGATCTGCTGGCAAAAGTACAAAACGACACAGTACTCTTTCGAGAGGATGTGTGCCAAAACCCTGCCACACCAGAAGACAGATTTGACATTCTTTATGCACTTCTGCGAGAAAACCCAGACAGATGGAGTTCCAACAACTCTCAGGGAAGCTTGAAGATGACTAGAAGTGGAAACAAACGAAAGCATAGTGCAATTTCATGATTGGGTCATGTTGCTTCCTATTGGGGCGGGTGGAGGATAGATCAATCTATTGTCATTTTTCTGCGCACAACAACCTCCACACGCAGTAGGTGTTGATGGGCCTAATGGAAAGCTCTCTCATTATAGATTATGGTTTGACGCAACAGTGCTGCTATGATCATCTTTTTACATGATTCCTCTACTCTAAACGAAAGCAGGGTTCCTTCTTCGTTTCGACTTTTGGAAAGGATTCGATGAATGGCAAATACAGTAGCTCGGCGACAAAAGATTGGCGTGGTATATTGTACAAAGTGCCTATTCGTGGACAGATTGGTACTACAAAAAACCAAAACCAAACAAACACCGAAGCCTTACGGTTAGGCACAGCAAGAACAGCGTCGTCCCGAAAGACTTTCCCTCTCTCCAATCTTGATTCTGGTCGTATCGCACTGGCACGTTGATTGTAGTAGTATCCACAAAAGTGAATCTTTGTTGCACTGTTCGGATAAGCATTGGTGCCAAATTGTTGCATTCTCAGTCGTCACCATCGTATTCTGCATTCAAGTCCAACATGTCAGGCATTGCGGGCATAACGAGCTCTGGTAATTCTTCTTCAGCATGACCAACGATAGGGCCGCACTCGTCTTCAAAACCAGGGAACCGAAATCCTACCATTCTGTCGGCTTCAAAGGAAACCTCACCACTTGGGCACTGAAACTTGATCTCAAAGTGAGGACTTCCAATCTCCAAGTTGAATCCTTGAGAGCCAGTAAGTGCCATCATTTTGTGAATATAATCATCCGGAGGAGCCCGTATCGTCAGCCCAACCAAGTCTCCCACAATTGGCATTGTTTCGCAAGGATGTTCTGAATTTCCCCAATTGATAAAGAACGGCGCGATACCACCCAGCCTGTGGCCGTACAAAAAGAGCATTTCCCATTTGCGTCGAGTGCCATCCTGATTCGCTCCCGACATGCCAATGACATCTGGTGTGTAGCCAATGTTCCTCAATGAGGGAACCATGGCTTCAGCGTCCGACGTTCGAATGGCCCAATGAAACGGGGTCAAACCGGTGAGACCTGTGGATCGAAGGAGTGTCCCGATGGGCCCATTACTGTCAGGATCCGGGGCAATGATTTCGAGAAAGGAGGGTCCTTCGAATGTCACTCGAGCCGTCTTGATACCCAGTCCTCTTATATGTCCCGAGACGATGGGTTCAATGCCCGTCTTTTCTTCAAATTCTTCGATTGCCGTAAACAGCTCGGGTGCGGCCAGGACCACGTGATCAAGATAGTTCTGAGGGAGTTCAATCTCTCGTTTCGACCAATTACTCGAGGACGAGCTACTGGAACTGGAGGAACTATTGTCGTCCGTATTGGCATCTTCCGTCAGGCCCTCCAGTAGAGCCTTGATTTCATCATCTTCGGCGCTAGTACTGGCTTTTGGTTTTTCATCGTCACTGCTATCCACGAAAACGGCGCTGGAATTGCCAGCCGAAGCGATTGGTACCGGTGTGAAATCCTCCACGGCAGGCTCCTCCAATTCTTTCGTATCGGGCAAGTCCACGAGTTCGGAGGGATCGATAAAGGAGACTGTGGATTCCTGTCCCGGAATGACTATTTTGCTGGTACTCTTTCGCTTTTTCAAGTCCTTTCGTTTGCTCTCTTTCTTACTCTCCTTCTTGCTCTCCTTCTTGGGTTCCTTTTTCGAATCTTTTTTGCTCTCCTTCTTGGATTCCTTTTTGGATTCCTTCTTGCTATCTTTCTTGGATTCCTTCTTGCTGTCTTTCTTACTTTCCTTTTTGCTGTCCTTCTTACTCTCCTTCTTGGATTCCTTTTTGCTCTCTTTTTTGCTCTCTTTCTTGGAGTCCTTTTTGCTATCCTTCTTGCCTTCCCTTGTACTCTTCCTTCGCTCCTTTTTCTCTCCGTCGCCGTCTTCTCCCATCTTGTAGGATTGTAGAATAAGTTGATTGAATGAAAGTGCTCGAGATGCGGTTGGCTTCTTGATATTCTCTCTTGAAACAGATACTGTAGCAACACCAGGGGAAGCAGGCAACAGCAACAGCAACAGCAACAGAGGGAGGTGTTTCCAAACAAGGGAACAACAACGTGGCTGTGGGCTGAAGAAGGAAAGGAGGCAAAGTCGGTCGAAAAGAGCGAAGGTCGCCTTTTGGATTTCTGAAATGGTGGGGTCACCTTCAAAAGACATCTGGAAAAGATACTTAAAGACTTGATGACGTCATAAAGATCTTACCGTGACTTCTCCCTCCAAGAGCAGTCGCAAAAATTGGTACGCAACGGCAAGACTGGGACTTCGAGCTTTTGCTTTGGAACGAGCGCCGACAAGCGGCGCTCGCCTAGAGCAGCACTGCACGACTAGTTGAGTAGAGTAGGGTGGTGGAGAGACTCGGCCATTTACTGAGCCGACCGTCTCCGCTACCCAGGGGTGCCGCTCGTGTATGCTAGAATCGCGAGCGGGAACCAAGGCACGAATGGGGCAGTCCCGCGGGATGTGAGTCCCGCGGGATTGTGCGACATTCGGCCAACCCAGGGAGGGAGAGGTGGGTTAATCTATTCTAGTTCTTGCTTGCAGCTCGGCTGAAGGAAGAATTGTGAGCAGAGAAGGAGACAACCTTCTTGCGATCGACTGTTCAATGGCTGAAAGAGAGAGTTGGACCGGTCTTGCATGTTGTGTTCATTCAAGGTTGCTATCTGTGAGCGGTCTTCGAGGGGTGCTATTGCCTTAGAGCTGATCTTACGAAGGAGGCAGACATAGCGACATGTATGTGGGGTATCCATTTCAGGAACGCAGGTGATGACCTGAGAGATGTAGAGATGTACTTGATGTGTAGGGGCGAAGTGTGGGAATCGATTTCGTGTTTTGTGAGATGGTACAGTTTGGCAACTGTGAGTTGGGTCATTCGTCGGAGAACCCATGAGGGTTCAGGTTTCCACGCCAGGCAGCGTGGGCAGTTAGGGATCAGGATCGTTGTCCTCTTTTGCGTGCGGCTGCTCGACAAGTGTCCACCGTGTCGAACGACACCAAGGATTCCCAGCTTGGTCCATCCCGGACCACCTCTCTTTGGTACTCCCAGTGCCACTAGGCTTGTGCCGAATGAGAGGATCCCTTTGGCAGCAATGCCATCCAGTCGGCAACCACCCCCAATGGTTGACAGCAGCTATGAAGCCCAACCACAGGATGAGCCCAAGGTCCCAGCCACCAAGGTCTCAGTCTCCTCTGCCTCCAAGGCAATGGGGAGTTCCCTAGTGTTTGGCATGTGGTTCCATCATGTGTTTGCTTCCATGATGGCCCATAGGATTGGAGCCCTCCAGTCTGTGCTGCTAGTACCGTCCCTGGATTTTCGGATGGGCAACTAGACTACGTCCCTGTCTGGTACAGCCCATCCATCCCATCCGTCAAGGGACATGATTGCGGGGCAAGAAGGCCGCTCCACTGAGAGCTTGCCGCCGCTGAATTCGGCCTGTGGCAAAGCCACAAATATTTGTCTACATATGAAGAAAACAAAACAAGAACTACGGAAGCAACCAGCACCGCCGACACCTTCCAAGTCTGGCCATGCTGATGAGCACGCAATCTCTTTGCGCCTACCTTTGGTCCAGCAACCGACCAACCATGCAAGTCCCTCCGCTTTTGAGATCTCCAATCTCACCTTGTGTTCCACTAGCAGCCGATGCTGAGTGGCCCATGAATGTTCTGTTCATGGGGAGAGTATGTATTGTAGTTAGTTAGTAACTAATCGTATATCGTGGCATTCCCATGAGAGCGGATCCATACGCACTCGTGGGGAGCGATAACTTTTAGGAGCGAGAGCTCTGGATCCCGTCAGAGATAGCTCCAACAGCTATGCTGGCCTACAGCTCCAGCACCCACAGCTGGCTTATCTCCCAGCAAAGCAGCAAGAAAGGATCGTCCTTTCTACCATAGTTAAGAAAATAGTACGAAAGATTGAGACCGATCCTGATTAGCTTGTAGCCCTTTTGATACCGCAGCAGTTGATACCAATCCTGTTGAGGCCGGGCAGAAGCAGTAGGAGGTAGCAGATAGTACTGTTCCCAGACTGCCACTGCACGATTGAATAACGAAGGCCCCCAGCTCCTGAGGAGAGCTGGCCCAAAGGGTCCAGCAGAGAGCTCTGCTGGCCCTCCTGTCTGACTGACAGGACCAAGTCCTTGGTTTGGGTGCCTACTGGAGGTGTGGAACACTCCTGAGGCACGACAAGGCTCCCTGAACTGCCTGACTACCGCTGTCCCTGAGGAAGGGTTTCAGCGAGATCCAGTCCACTACTTCGGTATTGGAACTGAACCTTCAAGAAACTTATTGAGCTCGATGCAAATGCGGCCCTTTCGTCCCCCACCTTGTTCCTCCGGCATCTGGTGTTGTGATTCGGCGCGGTACATCATCAAGCGCCCAAGTCGCTTGCAACACATATTATAATATGTGTCCAACAAGAAGATGATTCACATTTTCTCGGCCTCATATATGCCCGTTTTCTTCAGGAGTGCAAGATCAGTGAGCACCGTTTGGGTCTCTGGCACAAATCCAATGATCATCGGGGTGTGATGGATGATAGTGTCCACCATTGCAATCTCTGCACATTTCACTCCCATCATCAGGTGGGCAAAGGAAAGGGTAGAGGGTTCGCTAGCAGTGTTCACTCGCTGTACTGTCCATGCTTTGAGGAGGGATTCGGGGTTCCACTCGAGCTCCTCTTGGGTCATTTCCTTGACTGCTGCTGGGCGTTGGAGAGCATTGATCAACATTCTCGTGTACCTATCAGTGCCAGGGTGCGGTTCATAGGAGCCATTCAGGATTGCATCAGCTGCAGGGGTATCAGCAAGGGGGGCGAAGTCTTCGTCCATCGGTGGTGTTGTGAAGGGGGATTCAAGGCATCGCGTCATTCGAATTTCTCCTTCTCTGGTTGCAGCAATGCCCATTTCGTCCTGAGTACTGCATTCCACGATTCTGGTGGTGTCAGAGACTGGTTCGTATTCCGAGTAGAAAGTTTCATGGTTCGTTCTCGCTGGGCACCTTTCTTGGTGAGGGCTCGTTGTCTTCTAGCCATGTCCCTTTGGCGCTCTCACTGTTGCAGCTTTTTAAGTTCCTGGGCACGGGTGGTGCCGTATTTCTCGGCTCGGGCTTTGCAGAGAGACTGTAGAATCTTCTGCCGTAGGGACGGGGCTTTCTTCTTGGCCTTGTACCACTCTGCATTGGCCTTGGCTCGTCTTCTTCTGGCCTCCTCCAGAGTGATCTCCCAGGCATCGGTGTTGGAGCATCGGGTCATTTGTCGTCGGAGTTTCTTCCTACTGATTTTGAGTCGGAGTTTCAACTTCAGCACACTGTCCCAAAGTTTCCTCCAGTCCATTATGTTCTGAATCTCTGGGCTCCATGGTATGCCTCCCTTCTTGCCACTTCTCATTGATCTTTTGACCGACAATCGGACCTGGCAGTTGATGGTGGCAATGTGGTGGTGTAGGCGTTGGATTCTGGTTGGTGGGGCATTGTCTTCAATCAGCTTGATGAGGTTGTCTACTTTCTCGAAGAGCTTGTGTTGCTTGTACCCTGCAATCACCTGTTTGTGGTAGTAAGCAACGACTCGGGGGTCATCCAGCTGGAGTACACTGTAGTTCATCTTGTGAAGGTTGGGCGGGGAGTGCCCCAAAGCCGTCTCAAAAGGGATGTCCAGCCAGGCCAGGCGATGGTCCCCGGGGAGGCCTTCTCCAAATCCAAGGTATCCGCATCGAATACCAGTGAGATCCAGGGTGGTAAAGATTCCATCGATGGGGGTATGGGAGTAGTTTCTGTTATAGGTTGCGGGGACGTCCTGAGTGGGGTGCTTTGAGAGAATAGCTTCCTGGAGGCCCAACTGGAGAAACCCTACTGCCAACTTTCCGAATCGGACGTCTTGATTCGCATCCAACATGAGAATGGGGGTGTAATATACTCTTTAACTTAACAAGTCAAGGCCATGGAGTGGCTTTATTGACGCGGGCACAAGCGGGATAATTCCCACTCAGCTGAGTCGTCATTCTACTTTTCTACCTAGTAAGCACGATTCCACCCACTGGCGCCAATGACGCCAGCACCAAGTAGAATAGATTGCCCCTAGCTAGAGGGGGGATGGTCATACTCACCAAGAACCTGCAGCGCAAAGCCTGGGTTACAGGGGCTATACACAGGATTTCCGCCACCAATACCAGTGGAACCTTAAAAAGTATAGCATCAGAGTGCTCGCCAATAAGGTCCCATGCTGTAGCCAGTGCCTTGGCATGCAAGGCACTGTGCCAACAGAGCCCGTAAGAGGTGGTACTCTTTAGGCTAGACCAGGTCATGGTGTAACCCATCCAGTGGACAAAAAGTGTTAGGTAGAAACCAACATGTAGCCAAAGGATGGGGTCAAGTGAAACACTGGCAGTCTGTGGCTCCCAGGAGGGAGGCACTGTGGCTGCTGGAGTGTTGTGGGCTGTTCGAGGGGTTGTTGAGTCAATAGAAGGAGGATAAGGGGGCACTGGGAGTGGGCTGGTGCCAGGGGCAGGAGGGGAGATCCTGTAGGTGTTGGGGTGTTGTTGAAGGAGTTGGGAGGTAGCATGGTTGGTGGTGTGGTGTAGGATAGAGGCATGCCTCTGTTCAAGGGTGAGAACAAAGGCATCATCACTGATAGGGTAGGGTGTGATTCGGAAGGGTGTGATCCTCAAGATGGCTGCATGCTCTAGGAGCTGTTGGCTGATCATCTGGGGAGTGGTGTTGGGTAGTCTGCGGAGGATGGTGGATGTGGTTGGTTGGGTGAAGTGTGGGAGTGGGGGAATGTCTGGGAGGACCTTGGGTTTCGGGGAAGGTGGGTGTAGGCATGGGGAAGTCATGGTGGGTGGTAGGTGGGTTGGTGGAAGAGGTGTGTATCGGTTGGGTTGACTGTAGGGTCGTTGCTT